TTTCTTCAGCTCTAGCACACGTGAAGTTTTGAGAAGTCAGCTGAGAAAAATATTGCATATTATGGAAGCTGGGTGGGTTAACAAGTAATTGGGATTGCCAGCCATTTTGCAGAGGTCTAAACAAGCTTTTAAATTTCCTTACGGAAAAAGTATCAGCAAAAGTTAAAAATATTAAAAGAGAGATGTTGTCAAGGGTTGGTAGAGAGGTTATGCTGAAGTTAATCATTTCAGACCTTCCTATTTATGCTTTACAGGGCTACAAAATGCCTTCTAAGGCGTGTCAAACTCTTAGAAGTAAGTTACTAATATTTGGTGGAGTGGGAAGGAGGATAAGGGAAGGTTAAAGGGTTAAGTTGGGATAAGCTATGTGAGTCAGAACAAAGGGGGTTGGGGTTTAAGGATATTGAAGAATTCAATTTGGTTTTGTAACCAAAAATTGCATTGCGGATGGAAATAGGGGAGGATTCCTTGTTTTACAGCGTAGTTAAACATAAACATTTTACTTCTAAACTGTTTGCAGAGGCTACTTGTGGTCAAAGGGCATCTTGGGTGTGGAAGATATTGAAGAATTCAATTTGGTTTTGTTACCAAAAATTGCATGGCGGTTGGAAATAGGGGAGGATTCCTTGTTTTACAGGGTATTTAAACAGAAATATTTTACTTCTAAACTGTTTGCAGAGGCTACTTGTGGTCAAAGGGCATCTTGGGTGTGGAAGAGCATTTGCCAAGCAAAAAGAGTGGTGCAGAGGGGACTGGTTTGGAGGATTGCGAATGGGACAGAGGTGAGGTATTGGGAGTACAATTTGTTACTGGGTCAAGCCAACTTTGCTGTTACAACTAGAAGACAGAATGCATCTGCTTTAAGATTTTCTGATTTGGCTACTGGTAGGTGGAAGACTGACACAGTAAGGACAACTTGTAAGAATAGAGATGTTGCGTTGATTCTGAGGATACCTTTAAGCAACAAATGAAGTGTTCTGTGAAGACAGCATATAAAATTGCTTTGGAAGTGGTTAAGAATAAAAAGTGTGTCAAGAAGTGGAAGGGTGTAGTCATAGACAAGATTTTTTTTGTCTAAATGGAAGAAAATTTGGAAGATAAATACTAGCACGAAAATTCAGTTTTTTATATGGCAAAGTTATCATGATGTAGACTTCCACTGCTGGGAATTTAAAGAGTTGACGGATTGTAGCGATGCTGAATGTTGTTTCTGTGGAGAGAATGAGGAGTCTACTGTTCATGTTTTATGTGAATGTCCTTCTGCTAAGGTTGTGTGGAAGTCTTGTCCTATGAGGATGGAATTTGACAGACACAGGTTCATTAACTGGCAGCAAGCTTGGTGTTTTTTTTTGGATGTTTAGGGTAGCATGGAGAATTCAGAGAACATTTTCAGTTTAGCTACCTTCATTTGTTAGTAGTTCTGGAAGAATAGGAATGAAAATCAGTTCAATAAGAAGGGTGGCACTCCTTTAGATGTTTTGAGGAAAGCACTTCAGTACTTTAATGAGTATTGGGATATTACTACAAAAGATGACGAATTGGGAATGAATGTGATAATTCCTGGATCAGTGGCTGATACATGGAGTCCTCCAAAACGTGGTGTTTTCAAATTTAATATTGATGCTTCTTTTTGAATGGAGACAGTGGAGTGTGGTGGCGCTTCTATTCTCAGGGGTTATAGAGGATATCCAGTGAGAGTTGCTTCTTTTTTCTTCCAACAGGTTAGTAATGCCGGGATTGGAGAAGCTATGGTGCACCGAGGATACTGTGATGTGTGTGTGGAAGATGATTGCCAGTCAATTATGGTTTTGAATCCCATTGATGCTCTTGCTGCTGTTATATGTGAGAATGTCAAGGTTATATGCTTATGGGTGCTACTATTGTGAGTTTATTATGGTGCCCTAGAAAATGCAATATGGTAGCTAATTGTATTAGTAGATGGGCTCTTAATAAAGGGTTGGCGACTTTGAGTGGAGTAGTGGGCCATTTGGCCTTTATGGTTAATGAATTATATTATATAGTCTCTAATTTGTGGCAACATCAATGAAGTTCTTGATGGAGGCAATGCTCGTTTTCGTTTGGAAAACCCTTCATTAAATGGTGCATTGAAATTGTTGAACTAAGACATGATCAATAAACTAAATTTTAAAATACTAATTTATCTACTAGCTTTTTCCCCAGTTGACTCTTTGCTAGGACATGATAAATTTCAACAGAAGACAGGATCTAGCTGATTATTAGTTAAAAGGTCACAAATATGAAAGGCAGTATGAATGAATCTGGACTCCCAAAAAATCAAGATATCCTTTGCAATTTTCACATTTAAGAATTAAATCATCAGTTTGGACAAGAAAACCTTTGAAATTTAAACATTAAGCAGTGTCCAGATCAATAAAAAAAAAGAGAAAAGAATAGGAGCCATTATGTGTCAGACTTCCATATATTTTGAATTACAGACAGCCAACCAAAAATAACTCATTTTGGAATGCAGAATGTCAAGGCTGTGTTTGATGACTCCCTTCTGAATGGTTATATCGGAAATCTTTTCTGCCCTTCCTTCTCTTCTTTCTGGTATATGTTTTATTTATTTATTTTTTTACTTGCCTTGGATGAAATATTTTTGTGCCGCTTTTCTTATTTGATATACCTCAAGCTTGATTGATGTGCTCGTTGCATTTTATGACCACTATTTCATTTATACACACAACAACAATAACAAGTGATTGGAAATGCAGTACTTAAAGCCCAATTTACTAGTTGCATCATTTATGCTCATTATCCTTGTAAACAACCCAAACTTGTGCTTGACTGATTGATTTCTTAGCCAAATGAGCTTGGTTTACCATCAAACATAGCCTTTTTCTCCCGGTAAATCATCAAGCTTAGTTTCATAACCCTGATATGTTCATGGTAGATTAGTTTCCTTGCATGGATATCTTGGACATATTTTTTGGGGCATCGTTCTCTAAATGCTCAATTAAGCATTATAATTTTTCAATCCATTAGGTATAATTAACATATGAAAATTCACTTTGTCAACCTCAATGTGCTTAATTAACCATAACCTACGTACCCAGGTGTGTGTATATATATATATATATATATATATATATATATATATATATATATATATCAAAGATTTTACTAACAAGTAAGATCAAAATTAAAGAATTTATTAAGATCTAAGTACGTATTTAAATAATATGGGAAGAATATCACTTAAAGTTCAGAAGCAAATTAAGCTTATTGGGTAGACAGTAGAATGGATTTTATTAGAGTTGTGGAATCCTAAAGTTATAAGGAATTATATTTATATGGTAGCTTATGAAAAATAAAGTTACGTCAATAAATTTTTGTTATTATAGTAGAACTAGAAAAAATATATTTACAGTGACCATTAGATTAAATTCAATGGTCACATTCTAAACCCACCTATACAAAACCATTATCACTATTTCTAGTTTCCAAATTTAATATTTACCAATACAATTAATTATAACAATAAAAGGTAAGTACTAAAAAAATAAAAATAGAAATCTCTTCAACTCTCGAAATCACATCTAACCATTAATTGAAATTTTTTTTCTATAAATTCTTTTTTATAAGTTTAGAAAATTACATCAATGACTTGATACTAAAGTTAACATTGTCTTTTCGAGTTTAAAAAAGAAATTAAAAATTACATTATTGACATACAAAACAATAAAACATCGACTAAAAAATAATAATAAATTAGAAATAAAATCTCTATTTTTTTATCTACTTGATCAACTTAATGTAATCTGTGATTTGCACTACATTATTGTATACCTCCCTAAATGCATGTTATTTAAAAATTAGAAATTCAATCTATTTTTCTCTAACTCTTTGTCACAAATTCTAACTAGTTATAAACACATCCCAATTACTCATCTGTCATAATAAATCACACAATATATTTTTTCTAGTTCTACTATAATAACAAAAATTTATTGACGTAATGAGGAGATTTACGACAAAACATGCTATTATTTTATGAAATTTCAGATTTTCTTTGTAAATTAGTTGTTTTATTTAATATTTTCTTTAATACTGTTATAATTATACTATCATTATTTTTATTTTTTCAATACATACCTTTTATTGTTATAATTAATTGTATTAGCAAATATTAAATTTACAAATTAGAAATAATGATAGTGATTCTGTATTAAAAGGAAAACATATAGGTGGGTTTGGAATGTGACCATTAGATTTAAAATCTAATGATTACTGTAGAAAGTGGGGAAAAATTTTCTTGTTACATAGGGAGCAAGAGATCAGTACTCTCTCTCTCTATATATATATGTAATAACATATTATAATTTAGTGATTCTCGTGTCTGTAATTTTCTTCTTCTTCTTCTTCTTCTTCTGTGGACAGGTTACACGTGAGACTAGATAGTGCTAAAATGATTTTGTATTACAATGGGAGTCTTGTCCCCAAGTTCGATTGAAAATTAAGTCATATAATTTTAATTTCATCTAATATTTTAAATTTTTTAATCGAAGAAACAAAAAAAAAAAATTCCACTTTTAACTAGTGAATCATCTACATTTTATTCAATACATTGGAATGCTAGATGTCACATATTAATGGGAATTCATGAAGATTTTTTTTGAAATTAAACAAAATTGTAACCTAAGATGCAAGCTAAATAGTTAATATTAGAGGTGCCTACATGCAGAATTTTGTTTCTATTAGCTTTATATTATAAATAAAGTTTTTTTTTGTTTTTTTTTTTTGTCACATAAGATTTTGTTTACTTTATTTTAACTTAGAACTCTATTTCTAGATGCGATTGTCTGTAAAACCATACTTAAGTTTATAGTATAAAATTAATTAATTTTGTATTGTTATGGCTCTAATAGTTTGTTTATGGACTAGTGTTGCTTAGATTATGTAGAAGCCCAACCCAACCCGAAAGTTATTTATAGCCTATGGGCTGTGACCCAGTAATTGCTTCGTCTTAGCTAATGACTCTTTGGTTTTAGGATTTGAAAAAGGCATGCCAGATCACAAAATCATATACTAGTATACTAATACTATACAATACACCCACAAGGTCATTGGAAGAGAGAGAGAAAGGAGAAGATGATACACCGGAAATGGAGTCTGCTAACGGGCCCAGTTGCAATATTGGGTTCAATTGTGGCCACTGTCGTCGTCGCCAACTACCTCTTTATCGAAAACGTATGTTTTTCAGCTTCTTTAATCTAAACCCTAGATATATATATATATACACACACACACATATATGTATGTAACTGTTATAATTTTAATCAGATCTAGTTTTATTTATATTTTGAATCAGAAGCTGTTTTTCTCCCAATGTTTGATGCGTCATAGACTCGTAGTGAGATTCGGAAGATGTAAAGATATGGTTTTGTAAATTTGTTAGAACATGATTATCCTAATTCTGTTTATATGTATACACGTATATAAGATCAAAACTTATAATGTGCTTGTGTTTTTTGATACAACTGAATGGTAATAGATGTATACCCAAATACATGTTAGTATGTGGTGGCCATAACTTTTAGTTAATTAACCAGCCTTATGTAGCAGGATGTGGCTTATGTTGGGTATGTTTAAGTTTTGGGTTTACTTGAATCAAAGCTAGGTTAGGCCAACAATTGTTGATAATGTTACTTTTTGAAGCTGATGAAATTTATCAAATTGGGTTTGCCATCATACAGTCGTCTGAATGTTTATAAGTGTCCAAAATTATGTCTTAAGATGTATGATTAATTCAGTGGTTTGCATAGCCCTCTGAAGAATCTTAGTGTAAAATAATATAAATTTGTCCTACATTTTATCTTAGCCAGAATTTATATAAATTGCTACTTCCTCTCTATATAGATACACAAGAATTTTTACTAACCAAAAAACAAATTCATATAGCGGAAATGAGGATGTTAAGATGGATGATAGGAGTCACTAGAAGAGATGGGGTTACAAACCAAAATGTGAGAAAGAAATTAGATCTTTGTACCTATTAGTGATAAGATTAGAGATTGTAGACTTAGGTGGTGTAGACACGTAAACAGAAGACCTATAGATGCATGCACCTGTGACTTGTGAGAAGAGGAAGGTTAATTTGCATAGAAGCTAGGAGGCAGAGAGGACGCTCAAAATTAACATGGGATGAAATCACTAGAAATGATTTTTAGAAGTTAATTATTAGAGGCATAGTTAGTAAAATACGGTACATACGGATACTGATAAATACTGATATTTTCGGGTATTATATATATATATATATTTTAAAGTTTTGCCATTACTAAAAATTTGACCACATATACTATTTTTCTTCTCTTCATTTCAATAATATAAAAAATTAAAAATAATAAGGAAAGGAAGTATGGAGTGTTGTAGAGATGGAGAATTATAGAACATGGAAGAATTTGTAGAAATTGATAGATTAATTGAAGAAGATTTCAGAAAAGTAGAGAATTTGTAAAAATGCAGATATTTAGGTGGATAGTTCTAGAAACTAAAACTTCCATTTATTATGATGTATCATAGCCCTCTATTAGGAATGAGGATACCTATATATATGTACGAGTCTCATCTCATTTGTTGTAACAAGGCTCAATCGGCAAAAATGCTAGGGTGAGTTTAAGACATGAGTGAATGCAAGTGTTTGGAAAGAATTTACCTATAAAAAAAAGGGGCTAATTTCATAAAGAGTTTAAGACATTCACTTATGTTTGGAAAGAGTCTGAGAAGCAATTTTACCAAATTTTCAAAAACAGAAGATGAAGGGAACCTACTCTTTAGAGAAGCCCCTTCATTCGGCTAGTTCTTGGGCTCTTCAAGCACCGTCCATTTGTCCTCCTTAGCAACCTAAGAAATAAATATATAGAGAGAGAAACCTGAGGGTAATTTTGACATATCACTTAGTCGTTTATCGGAAAACAAAAATTAAAATCAGAATACACATCAAGTTCATCATTTCTCTACAAATTCATAAATAAAACGCATCACTACGGCTCCGTTTGTTTCGACTTAAAATATTCTTTTTGGAAAATATTTTTCTTTTCTCCAATACAATACCAAGAAATAGCATTGGGCGAACAAAATCATACTCTTTAAGAACAATTTAAGGAAAATTATTATTATTATTATTGTTATTATTTATTTATTTATTATAATACTAAAATACTAGGACAAACACCGTAACCAATATGGATACTTGGTTGGTAGTGGTGTTGGGAAAAGTATAGCTCCTCCCTGACTCCCTCCCTCCATCTTCTGGCATCTCTTTCCCTTAAAATTCTCTGCTGTCTTGTAAACACTATTATTGCCTCATTATTGAAGTTCCAGGGTATCATGCTCAGTCTAATATGTCATCTGCACATTTTGTCTATGCAGGATCCTTTCCTTAAACCAGTGCCACGGAAGCAAACTACGCCACCTTCAACCAAGTAAAGAATGGGATCGAAGAAAAAGTGCACATCCTTGATTGTAACATGAGATTGTGTTTGTTCAGTATGTGATTTGCTAATTATGTTTAAAGATGCTGTATGGAACTTGAGAACATAGTTGAATAAAGTTGATATTCTGAGTGGTTCAGCAAAGCCACTGTAGCATAGCAGGAGTATTATATCTTCGAAGCAGTGGTTTGATTACCATGGTTGGGTGATGTAGGGCATGTACGTTCATAATAATTCCAATTTATCTACCATATAGAACTGTACTTTTAGAAATATTTACTGCAAGATAACCATGTCTTCTGATGAGTTCGATTAATGCCCTGTGTGTAATAAAGAATGTATATTTTTACAGTATAGCCAGAAAATTATATCATGCAAGTACAATAAAACAAAACACTAGTAAAAAATAAATACAAACGATTTCAGGTAACTTCAGCTTCTTCTTGCAAGCTTCAACCTGTGGAAAAATGTATTGATGATGGGTTTTATTGGATTTTGCTACTGCTCTTTCTTCAGATCATGTGGACTAGCATCAAATCAATCCAGTGATTTTTTGCAAATTGGTTGTGATGCTTCTAATCTTGGCCATTAACCAACATTTCCATCAACAAATCATTCCAGGAGTCTATAGGTCCAGGCAAGCACCAATGCAAGCAATCATTTGGAACTTTTGCATTTTTGTCTTTGGCAAGTAATTGGAATTGCCTCTGCCTGTATGCTCCTGGGTGTCCATCAGGCCTCAACAATGAAAGATTGGCTGTGTTCAGTAGTTTCAAACTCATCCCATTTCTGCTTCCTGCGGCCTTTGCCTTCTCAAATTCTTCCAACTCAATGCTATGCATTATGGTGTCTACATAACTCATATTCACCTCTCCTTCCTTGAATGGCATTGTTCTAGTGCAATAACCCCCACTGTGCCATTCTCCTCCTTCAAAGTGATCCGGTGCAGTCATTCGAAAGAAAAAATTCACTTTGCGATTCGAACTGGTTACAAAATCAAAACTCAACCGTAGTACTTTGCGATACACGTCGTCAAATCCTAGCACTGTTAAGTTCTTTCCAGTGCAGTTGTGGCAGCCCACCACTGTGTCGTTCTCGTAGTAGATTGCAGGTTTGAATATCCATTTCCCACCAGCAATTAGTGCATAATCTAGTTTTTTGTATTGTTCAGTCCATACTGCATCAAGTTTGTCAATATGAAGCTTCATTGCTGCTGATGAAACTCCGTTGTTGTCTTCAAAAATGGCTGTTTTGGCAAGTAAAGGGGCCCAAATTATTGCAAGTGTGAAGTTGTGGTGTGGAAAATACCACGTCCTTGATTTATATTCCTCGTCATGGTAGATTTCAGTAGCTTCTTCCACCTGTGGGGTATAACAACTAAAATTTGATCAATTTTGTGTTGTCCAGTACACCAAATCCTTCCGGTCGACCAAAAAATATAATGCCATGCAACAAAAATTACTACTAGCATCATCATGTCATGGTGCAAACAGAGCCAAACGAATCGAATCCAAGCAATAATCTTATTGAGTGCCTGGCTCTGAGAACTGCAGGGTCTAATCTTGGGCACATCTTTGGGAATACCAACCACATTCTCGTCCGTCAGTAAAGTTTAAAAACTCTTAAAGGACTGGAGGAAACTAGCATAAGAGATACTGGAGACGATACTTCAATTCAGCATTATCTACTCAAGCTAGACCTTACCAGAAACAGGGTTATAAATTGATCTTAGAATTAAAACTAGGGCAAACATTATGCTGAAACAACTTTCCGATATGGTGTCATAACAAACTTCCATTCACCAACAAATACTGACGGAAATTAGACATTAGATAACATAATCATTGTAAACATAAGTGAAATTACTTTAAAAACACATCATGTTATGCAGTATTTCATAGATTCTTCTGTTAAAATCTAGGGATAGGAGTCCTAATTATGGTCAAAACTTCCAGGTTGGTATGTAGTAAGTTATATGTCATGACAATCTACAATAGCTTGAAGTATATAGACCAACCAACAATAATCATGTACAATAACCAACCATCGGATTCTAGAGAAAAAAAACTACTACATAAGAAAGTGAAACCGATACCCTTCAAATGGAGATTTTGGTTTAAATAATTAACCTTGAAAAAGACTATTGAACTATTTAAAACAAGGTAAACTCAGAAAGGAATTCAACGCGAGACAAATAGCACAAGCTTTGAACTCGCGTTTGATTACGTTGGCTGCTCATAGCAAGTAATTATAACCTTAGCTCTACCAATTAAACAGGGTAGCAGGTCATTATAGTGCTAAAGGAACCTCTAGGCCTTAGTTTTAAGAATAGCTTTAAGCCGAATTCCACCGAGCTTTTTATTAATTTAGAGGGACTAAGAAACAGTATAGGATACATATCAGTAGTTAAAAGCAATGAAATAACATAATCAAGTTTAGGATCTGATCTTAGTAGAATGTATTTTGTTAGTAGATAAAGCATAAGAAAGAACAAAAGAAATCAACAAGGAAATGGGAATTTTTTTAGTAGCTTGAAACATACCTGCGAGAGCATGCAAAGTAATGACTGCCCGTGATTACGTGAAATGGAGTCACCAATGAAGCCCCATGATTTATCCCTCGCTAAATGAAGAAACCTCTCCGAATTAAACTTGGGTAACTTACAGTCTCTCGGAACCCACCTCCAGTAGAGATATTGTGTATCAGGGCGCCCATTCGTCATACAATCCTGATTAGCGTCTATAAAATGGCAGCTCTTGTTGGTGTAAAATGGAGCAGAGGTATCTGGAACCCAATCTCCCCTAAAAATATCACATTTTCCTGTGACTATATTTATAAAATAAATCTATATCAGTTGAGCTCAAATCAATACAGAAAAAAACACACACACACACACACAAGAAATTGGGGGTAACAAGCACGATGCGCACACACTTTGTACCAGCTCAAAACACCATTTACCAAATCCAAAAGATACTTCTATATTTGTATTCCAAAAAGACTAAAATTTGACACTTTTTTGCAGGGCACAAAGAATTATAGATTTTCATAGATGCAATTTGGTCTCTAAATCTTCTACTACTTTTTGCTTTCTTTTGTTCTAAATCTAATAGTAAACAACTTCATCGAAACAAAAAAAATCTGATGGTAAACAAATTCTTCAATACCTTACAACTGAAACTATGGATAAATAATTTAATCTTAAAGATCGGTCTGCAGTGCAATGTACACCAGTAAGAACCCCCATGTATTGTTTTCCCACTAATCTTCTTCTTGATTTGAATTTATCACTGTCAAATTTGAAAATGAATTAAAAAATTCAAATGATTTGGAATCAAAATAAGAAAAAGTTCATCTTGAGATTCTTTTATAGGGAAAAAAATCTTTAATTTTGTCTCCATCTCACGAAAATAGCAAATAATCATACCAACCCTCAAAATGAACAAAATAAAGAAGAATGAACAGAAGACCAGACGGAAACACAAAAAAAAAAAAAAAAAAAAATGGAAACAGAATCTCATTTCTATATGAATTTTCTCATCCATGCATGGCCTCGAGAAAGAGAAAGAAAGAGCAAAGAAAACTTGCCATTTTGAGTAATTGGGCTCTCATTCACCGGAAAATCATTGGAAGACGGCGAATTACCCACGGGAGGTGGCATTGCATTAGCCTCATCCCTCAAATCTGAAAATGAAAAAAAAAAAAAAAAATGATATCATATGAAATCAAAATGAGAAAGGATTAGTAGAAATATTAGACCAAAAAAACAGGGTTAGCCCATTGTTTATCTTAAAATTCTTTATAGAAAAAAAAAAATTACTTTAATTTTATCTCCGTCTAATTAAAATTGCAATTAATCGTACCAACCCTCACAATGAACAAAATGAACAGAAGACCAGGCAGGAAAAAACACACACACACACACACAAAATAGAAAACAGAACCTCATTTTTAATATGAATTTTCTCATCCATGCATGGTCTCGAGAAAGCGAGAGAAAGTGCAAAGAAAACTTAGTTACCATTTTGAGTAGTGGGGATCTCATTCACCGGAAAATCACCAATTTGAGAAGTAGTTGGGTTCTCATTCACTGGAAAATCACCATTTTGAGTAGCTGGTCTCTGATTCACCGGAAAATCACCAATTTGAGTAGTTGGGTTCTCATTCACCGGAAAATCATCGGGAAACGGCGAAATACCCACCGGAGGTGGCAATATATTGTCATTGTCCACAACAGGTGGTATATCAGTGCCCACATCAGAAAAAAATTGTATAGAAGTTGAGGAAAGGAGGCGATAAGCCAAACCCAATATGAGAACACACACAACAAACTTCACAAAAACATGATTATGTTTGTATGCAGATGAAAATGGGCTGTTTTTGTTGTTGTTCAAAATAAACCTCATTGCTTTCCTCTTTTTTGTTTTTCCCGTTGTTGAGACCTTCAAAATGTTGGGTAACATAGAGAGAATTAGAAAGCAGAGTGGATCATGAAATAAAAAAATAAAAAATAAATTGAGATGGTTTTCTCACCTAACCAGAATTGGTTGTTAACATGAATGAAACATGAAACCTGAAAATACTTGAGTTTTACTTTTAGAAGTAAAAATTGAGAGTTGATTACAATTAATAAAGATGGGATTGCCATAAATAAAGTGAGTTGTGCATTCATTTGTTAGTTGGTGGTGTAGTTGTAAAGTATGTAGCGTAATCGGTTTAATGTACAATAAATGAATCTTTTTAGTTTGTGTAATTACTTTATGGTATTAATTTGTAGCAACAACTTGGATTCACAATTTATATTTTAAAATTAAAAAAATTGATAAAAAGTTATAGAAATGGACAATTGCAAATTTTATATTTTTTGTTTTTTTTTTTTTAATAAAAATGATGTCTGATGCAAATATAAATTAGATGTATCCAACTTTTAAACTCTATATCACAATTATTTCAAAAAAACATGACCAACTGACAAATATTTCAACAACAAAGAATAATATTTTATATTCAAATTTATATGTTATTTATGCGACTGAACACTCTCACCCATGGTAATGTGGCATTAATATTTTAAGATTGCAATAATATTTTCTTGAACTAAAGTATAGACTAAGTTCATTTTTAATATATAAACAGAAATATACTTTCTAAAAAAATATATTAGTATACTTTTCGTTATTAATACACTTAAATATACCTTTCATTATTAATATTATTCTTATTTTTATTTTTATTTTTTAATTCATCATATCTTAGAAAAGAAAACCAACCTTAACGAACTCAGAAAGGAACCACATCAAAGAATTATTGAATCCTTTTTTAAATCAATAGAGACCACATTCTACACACGATTGACTGACTGTTAAATGATTACGTGTGAGAGGTCAAGTATATTACCAAAAATTTATTCCCAAATCAACTAATAATTTTATTGCATAAGTAGATCAATTAGTGAGTAATATACCGGAAAAAATCATGGCACAAAAAGATGTTATTAGAAAACCGACAAAACCCTTCCCTCAAGTAAAACTATTAAACTTTTAAAATTATCAAAAGATTTTAGTAAAATATTTATTTATTTATTTATTTTATTACTACCTCCATTCCATAATAATTGTCAATTTTAAAAACTTTAACTTACTATCACCTTTTATTTTTGAATTATTTAATGTCATTTTTAGTCATATATCTTTAATATACATATATACTATCTATATCCCATATTAGAGGTTTTTTTACTTTGACTCACAAAAATTATGAGTTAAAATTTTTAAATTTGACAATTAATATGGAACGAATGGAGTATTATTTTTTTATCTAAAGTTTAAGCAAACATACCATCCCGAACATTCGGGCACTGAAATGGAAAGAAAGCTTATACCAAGCATGAAAACCATCTCTTGGACAAGTAGTACATATTGGTGATTCTCTAGAAGGATGAATTTTGCAAACCCTTTTATAGAAAAGACACAATGTATTTGGTAGAGGGACTACAGAATAATGTAGTAGTGTTATGTTCTCTTGTTGTTTGGCTAAATGACACCAAGTTAGATCCACATGCTTCCTGCTCCTACCTTCCTCATCCAAATTTCAGTGGATGGCTTATGGATATTGTTTAGGACAGCTGCAAGAGCAACCACTGCTTTAAAGTATTCCAATAGAATATATATATATATATATATATATATCATGGCTGGATCACATTTTCAAAGACCATAACTCATAACATGTCATAATCACATCTCTCTCCCCACCAAGTATAATTTATGTAAAGGTACAATCATCTGAGATTTATCAGATTTAAAAAGAAAAAAATGTATATATTTTGATAGGATCATCCACGGGCCAAGAAATCACATGAGCGTGCCCACGTTATAACATTTTCTTATATAAAATTATAAATATAAAGAAAGTTTGGTTAGAAAAAAAAAAAAGGAGGAGTTTCATTCACCTCTCTCATATTTAGGCAAATTACACACAATAGTGATGCTCTCAATAATCAAAATGAACATACAGTAGCAACACAACAGCAGAATTGACAATTTAATATATTATTATAGCATATGGACGTTATTAACATTTCACACTTAATGTCACTAAGTATCTTTTAGCGATTGACCAATGAGTTTAAAAAAGATTAAAGTAATAAATAATAAATAATTTATGCATTTCAAAATTTTAAGAGAAGTCCATATAATTTACTCTAAAAATGCAGATACCTCGATAGCCCAGTGGTTAGTGTCTTCGGTGGATTTTGAGAGTGTCAGGCTTCGACTCTTTGTACCTACTAATTTAACTTCTAACCCTTCTTGCCTTGTAAAAAAAAAAACACTGTTGGGAAGTAAATTTTAAAAGCACCGACACCCAGAGGCCAGATTCCAATTCCGACTGCCAAAGAGGAGGGGATGTGGTGGTGTACAAGTTTAGTACCTTGCTAGTTAGAAATGACCAAAGTACAAGAATTATCTAAATATTGCACCTTCTTTGATAAAGGTGAAATATATCATGATTCTTTTTGCCTTTATTTTTTTCTTTTTTCTTTTTTTCTCTTCTTCTTTGTATTTACTCCTGTTTGGATCTGCCTAGCATATAGTTTAGCTTTGGAATTGACCGGTCAAAATCTCCATGGTGATTGCTTATGATGTACTTCATCAACCTAATTTCTCACTTGGTTTTGTCTTTCTACTTCTTTTCTTTCTTTAAAAGGTATCATTTGCTTAACAACATTAATATTTATGCTAAAATGCTTTGTTTCTTTTGGTTAACCTAATCATTTGGAGGTGTAACAATGAGTTCAAGGGTGTGGCAAGTTCCAATATGTTGACCTGTTATTATTTTTTAAATATCCTCTAATTTGAATAGTATGTCGGTACATAATTATATATATATGTATATGTATATTCATTTTATATATTTGATTATGTATACACATGTTTCTGTTTCTTTATATAATTAAGAAAAAAGTAACTTTTTTGACTATATATTGCTCCTTCGTTACTATTCGGTTCTTTCTTGATTATTAATCGCTTGGACACACCAGTTTAAAATTATATAGAACCATCTTTTAAAGTAATTGTTTCACGTGTGTTGATGATGCGCATGAACGCGCGCGCACGCACACACACACATATATATAATATAATATACATGAGGAATATAAGTTGTCACAATAATCTAGTCGAACAAATCCTTCAAGTTATTAATTTATAATCTACTCCAACAAATATATATATATATATAGAGAGAAAGAGAGATTGATTTTCTAACTAGGAGATCCATTGCTTGTGAACAAACACAAATATTGTATTTATGTAAATTTTTCTGAACGCATGTGTTTGACTGGACCATTGGAAAGTGAGACCTCATCCATCGATTAATTATTTCGTTAATTGAAGCATTTACATTTCTCTATTATATAAATTAGTTGACAACAATGGCTATGACTAAATCATTTTCCACCAGCTAAACTAGCTCACTTAATTGTCACAACTCAAATCCGTTTGGTAGCATTTCGGTTTATAGGATTAGGAATAAGCACGTGTATACAAACTCCTACATAAATTTATCATTTCCAAAGATTTATTTTTTTTATTATATTTCTATATATATATTTTTTGTGTTCTTATGATTTCAAAAGATTTGGTAGATTATAGAAAGAATCCAAAGAGAACTAGGGAGTATAAAATTAGGATTTAAAATCTTACTTGTGTAATATGTATAACGAGTTTTATAAAAAAAAAAAATTTAATGCGTCAATAGTATCGATGACATAATATCACTTATCAATTAAACAATGATAATAAAGTAGATGTATTTTACTTACGTGACAATATATAATTAGTTGAAGACACTAACAAAATTTAATTTGTGAATTATTTGTACCGAGATTGTTAAGTTTGAATGAAATGCAACCTAAAATTGAATCCATGCACAATAATCTATCCCATTGAATGGGAAAAAATAGGTGCAAAAAATGCAATGAATGAGAGATCTACATATCCTTTATAAATATGGACAATACTTACCTACTCATTGGTGAATAAGAAATTTATATTCACTACGTATGTGGCGCAATGTTAAACTAACAAGTATTTTTATATTTAAAATAATAATAATTTGATAACTAGCTGGGTTAAACCCAAATAAATCTGAATCAAATTCTTATTCTCTTTCCTCTCCCTCTTTCTCACTCTTCTATCAAAAAAAAAAAAACCCTGAAACAAAGAAAAACATCTCGTACTTATATGTTATTTGAGATCAAAATCACTAAATGCCAAAACCCCATAGAGAATTTAAGTGTATAGTTTAAAAAAAAAAAAAAAAACAAACAAAATTAGCTTCAAATACCAATGTTCCAGAAAATGATAACCTTACAGGTGGGAGGTCCTATTTAATCAGCTTTGGTAAATAAATTCAGCTGCAAAACATTGCATTCGACATCGTTCTAGACACTCTTGAATTCAACATCACCAATTTTCAGTTCCTTTGAGGCCTTGTGAAATTTTTGAAAGGTTATTTAAAGGTGCCATAGATTCTTGTCAATAACAGATAAGATTAAGGCTTCCACATAATAGAAGCGTGAAAAGAGGGAAAGGAGTGCAAATTAGAATATGATTCAGATCCATTTGGGTTTAATCCGGATAGCTGTCAAATTATTTACTTTTTATTATTTTAAACGTAAGAATACTTATCAGTTTAATATTGCGCCACATACGTGATAAGTATAAGTTTCCTAAATTTTGGTTGGACCACACTAAGACAAGCCATGTGAGGTCTTATTTCATTATGGAGATAAGCTTTGTTGAGTCATTGCCTTAAAAGTCTTCCAAGGATGATAATGGCACTTTTCCACATTGAACATGGGCCCATGACCAGCTTTAAGCCTACCAGATAGTGAGTCCTTTTAAATGGGCCAGTTGGGGGCCCTATACCCCTATGTACAAAGTTTCATGCTCTTCGTCCTGCTTTTACCAAATAATTCAATCATTGGATTGGCCCATCTCTTAAAACCTTAATACTCCTCTGCTCTGAGGACCAACCTAGCAACCAAACTTGGCATAAACTAACTAGATATTTAAAAAGGGCCAGAACAATGCTCGAGATTCCCATCACTGTGGGTCCGGGAAGAGTTTAATATATGCAGTTTTACCTTCGCAATGCGAGAAGCTGTAAACTAAATAGAAATGGACTGAAAAAAATTACAAAATTTAGAATGTGAGAATTGGGTTTTCTTTTTCATTTTCGATATGAAGTGAGCATAATAAATGTGAGGAGTGATATTTTATGAATAATAAGGAGCTGGATATGGATGTTGCATTCCACTCTAGGCCCAGTATCTGAAAATGACCTTCACAAGCCCATTAGGTCGGATGTAGTAGACGGGCAATCACTAGACTAAACAACTAAACCTAATCCCAAGCCCAATAGCCCTTTGGATCCTCAATGTACACTCACATTATTAACTTTTATCTATTTTTTTTATTTTCTTTATTTATTCTGGCATATTAGGGGAAGGGAGACTCAAATACGGGTACATCTGTTCAGAAACTGAACACTCTAACAACTAAGTAATTGAGTAATGTCCAATTAATTTTTATCTATCTATTAAGAAGAAAACCCCACCATGATAATTTAAGCTGCGATTTTTTTTAGTTGTTATATAAGTGCACCTATGTTATGGTACCTGAACAGGTTGTATGACCGGTTCAGACATGTATGATGCACATTTTTAAGCACATAAATTTAAAGGGTACTAACTTTTAAATGACAAAGAAAAGTCCATCTAGTGAAACAACTACAAGGCCAAAAACATGGAAAATGGATATTAATTTTCTGGTTTTTAAATCACATGAAGCAGAATCCTTCTTATACATCCCACTAGTCCACATTATATTGACATATAAAAATACCTACCAAATTTGATCATTCTCAATTTTGGTCAAAGGTGTGCTCTTCATGCAGAGATTTTTCTAAAGAAAACAAAGGATCACCAAGTTCTTGTTTTTTTCTTCTGATATTTGGATAGTCTATGCAATACAAAACCCCTTCTTTTTGTGTGTGTGTAAACATATATAAACATATCCTTGGTGTGCAAATTATGATTTAATTAGGTGATGTGGTTATGTATGCAAAGCTACTCATACTCACCTTCACCATCATTCAATGAGTGTGGATCAGTCATTTTCTTTAACACATAATTGATTTTTTTTTTTCTTTTTTTTTTTTTCTGAAAAATGATCAATGCATTAAGATAGAGGAATAATACAATCAGAAAGAAGAGCGTCTAACAAGCACTGGGGTCAGACACTCCACTCAAAATCAGTACCACTTTTCTATTGACAACACTGGGGCATCCATTTTCAGTAAAGAGACAATTCTACCCCTATTAAGCACATACCTTTTAAGCTTTATCCTACAAATGAGGGGGCAGTTTTGGAATTTTGAACCTTGATAAATGTCCTAATTAGGAGGGTGCCTCTTTATAATAACAATTAAAAAGGTGGGTAGCCAGTAGCCGCTGACCAGCAATATATGAAAAAACATTTTAAAGAATCTTTCTAGTTGGGGGGACACAATATGTTTTGCTGGTAGAACCTCTGTTCCATCTGATCTGAGAATCCAAGAAACTTTCACATCCAGATGAAAAAGAGAGAAAAAACTGAACAAGATAGAAAAGAGAGTGAAAGCATAACCATATGGGATTGTGGTAGTCCCTTATATGATTCGTATGAATTGGTTTCACTAAGCCATGTTATTGATAGGCACCTAATGTCATTGCCAAGTCCTGGTGGATCAAGGCAGCTAACCACCCAAATCTCTCCGGCAACGTCGAAAATGGGCATCAAAAGTAAGGCCAGAAGGTCTTCCGTGGTGGGGTTTTTGAGTGAATTTATGAAGAGGAATATGTGGAAGAGGAGGATGAAAGATGGAAAAAGGAAAGAGAAGGCCAGGAAGTCGAAAAGTGTGATAGGATTGGTTCTTGGAGGAAATAGTTTGTGCTAATGAATAGCAAAAGGTACAGAGTTTCTCTTTATTGTAGAGTAATGAATCTGTAATCTCTCAGATTTATATGTCCAACATTACCACCTCCTTTTTCTTCTCTTTTTTCTCTCTCTATGTATCTTAGTGCGTGTACTATGTGTGTCTTATTTCTGAAATGATATAATTATCCCAAAATTTGTTTATCCATTATATGAAAATATGTAGAACACTATTCATGTTATGTTTGATGCTCATGCCAATTGAATGTGCCATTCTTCATCATTTTAAGTGTTCTGTTTGAAAATTCTAATTCTTGTTGATACATGGAAAATACAATTTCTTAAATTATGATGTGTGTGAATATACACACACACTTATACATCAATTCATCAAAAGATAACACATGAATCTTCCTAGTAGTATTTCTTATGCTTTTCAACTTTAAAAGGAGATTTCTTATGCTTTTCAACTTTAAAAGGAGAGTGACTCTATCTTATTGATTACGGTCTAAGAATCCTTATTGGATGGTGTTTGTTGGAGTCCCCAAACAAAAATCAATCAGCAGCATCTTTCTAGGTGCATATACTAGTAATTGACACCATCACCATGTCATACACATACAATGGAAAACAGCAAATTATTGGAAAGACCATCCGACCCATATTATTAAATTGGACTGGTCTTGTTTCATGTAACCTACATAGAACTCTACAAGCCTTGGTGGGCTTAACTATTAAAACATACAAATATTTGACAGGTACAGTAGGAGGAAAACACAATCTGTTTTTGTACCATTTGAAATATTATTACTGAGAATAAATACAGCAAAACAACCTAAAACATATTATTAGATTACATTAAGAATATGGTAAACTGCAATTCTCACCTATTAATTGAAAGCAGTACTAAAGTAGCTCTTAACAACATTGTTACCAAGGATCTGCAACACCCTGCCATTGCTTGGCCCTACGAATCGCGGCGTTTTAAACTGACTAACAGCAGCTCCTAATTCAACATAGTGATCCAGAATCTTGTGAAAGGTTCCCCTCCTCACCACTCGGAGCTCAAGTGCCCCAATGGTATTAACCTTGCGGGAGCTCACATAGCCAGCATCGATGAATGATCGATCCATACAGTCGCAGCATTCCTTCAAAACCTCCTCACTCGCTTCACCGCTGACTTCCCAGAAGATAACATAGTGGCCAGGGTCTGTCGACAAATCAACAAGGCTTGTAAAATCCACCACTTCTAATTTTTCTTCCGCTAACAAATTGCTCCCTGCTTCCACAGCTAGTTGTAAATCTTTCTCTGTGTTCTTGTCAATATTGATGTTAAACAGAAGATTTCTCCTGCAAACAAATTGCAGTTCCGGGGTTGAGTTGTGGAAGCCCATAACTTTAACCACATCTCCCAACCTATACCGGTAAAAGCCTGCAAGTTTACTTGGAAATGTATTAATATAAGAGGACTTTTGAGAGCACACGTATATAAACATAAATATACAAGTAATGCAAACAATTTGGTTGAAAACTTAATTAAAACAAGGGCATCGACTGATTTCAACAACATTCAAAGTTCAAAAAAGAATCCAAACATCGAAACTAAACCTTAACAACTTCAAAAGAAAAGAACACACACAATTTTAAAAAGCAAAACCATGCTACTTTAGTACAGGTAAATTAATAACTAAGCCAACTATACCATGCATTATCTTATATTGTATGGGACATGCACATGGAACCAATAAATGAATAAATTAGACAGATCTCTTTTGACTTTTACAAGGAGAATTAAAGGCCAAAATGAAAGGAAAAAAAGAATCAAACCATCAACTAAAAAAAAGGGTGAAAAGATGGGGCTGCAAATGACAAATCATCCATTGACATCCTAATCTTCTATAAAACGTAACATCATTGCCACAAAAAGTGCAGATGCAGAAAATAGGACCAATTTATAAGTTTTATTTAAAAAAGAAAAAGAAATGCATTGTACCTAAATAATAAAAAAATTAGTACCTGCAAAATTGGTAACAATGATCTCATACTCTTCACCAACCTTGACTTCAGTAAGACCAACAGGCTTGGGCTCCATAAAGCCGTCAACAAACTCGCTTAAAGGGATGAATTCATAATATCCAATATTAGGAAGCACAGCAAAAGTGACCAACTCGGGAGGCAATTTTGGATTGACATTTGATCCAATCCACCCTTCAGAAGCTCCATAATCTGCAGCTAACAGAGGTAATTCCCCTGCATAATGCCTCAATTTTTTCAAATAAGGTTCCATTGAGCCAGTCATGATCCCATATACATACTTTGCATTGGGAAAAAGCTCTGGTATTAATCCATACCAATTACTTAATCCCGAGCATATTTTATAGATCTTATCAGCCAATTCAGGGTTTGGCTTGAGCAGCCTAGACATAGCTGTTCGGATGGACTGGTCAGTGACTCGGGTGCTGAGGACCCCATCTCGGATGTCAGTACAGAGTTCTTCCCAGACTTGTTCGAAGGTTTTGAAGGAACCTATAATGCTGTGGGCAAATGTAGAGGACACAATTTGGACTTCATCCCGGAAAAGAAGTCCACAGAGAAGATGGCAGTACAAGGATTGTTGGAAGTTACCACCATATATTACTTCATCTGGGCTACAACAAGGGGACAGAATTGCCATCATCATATCCTTGTATTGTGAGTTGCTAAAGCAATTTGTAGTAGCCGTTCCCGCAGCCAGTCCCCCTTTTGTTTTGAACTGCTTGCTGCTGTAGATAAACTGCAAAGACTTTCCATTCCCGATGGGAAATTCTCTGCAAAACAATAATTATATACATCAGCAAAGAACTAATTACCACCATATAGAAGGGAAGAAAAACTAAATAAATTTAAAAAATGTAAGCGTCAAAAAACTTAGAAAATGTGACTGTAGGTGGTTGGCCAGTGTCTGTGTAGGTTGCGAAGATGATGTATGAAACATAAAAAGAGATCTGTCTTATTTATTTGAGTTTATAAATAACATTGATCTCCTTGAATTTGGTTGAGTTGGGGTCAGTTGCTTTTAACTAAAAACTTCACCATCTTATTTCACGCATAATGCCAATAAGGGGCGCGGATCAAACATAAAGCCTATAAGACAATTAAGAACTATTTAAAGCCTCCAATAAAGAATACCATCTCATAATATTAGTTGCATATTTCTTTTAATTAATTAATTATATTTGTAATATTAGTAATATGAGTGTATATATATGAATGAATTATTTATACTTTGTTCTTTGTATTTGATGAGAAATTTTATGTCTTGTGTACTGACCAAGATAATTATCTATCCGTTTTAATTCACAACTTTTAGGATATGACCACATCATCTTCACAACCTACTCAGATCAACCATGTTAGTGTTACTCAAATTATAACTACAGAGGAGATCAATGTTATTTTTAAAACAATAATTCTATATATATATATATATAGCACTAAACAGACTGAATTGACATGTTGTTCTGAAAATCTTAAGCATGGACATTTCTGACCAATCAACAACATATAAAAATTTTCATTATTTGTTTATAAAACATGACATGACATGATCCTGCTGATTCTTAAACAAAAAGAGAAAAGCAGAAAAGAAAATAATAACACAAAAGTGAAATATATATATATATATATATATTATGGTTCCAACAAGGTAATCAATCCCTAAGGTCAACATCAAGCAAAAGAGACTTCCTAAAACAATATGAACTAAAATGCTCTTCTGTAGCACAAGTATTTTACCTGCTTCTAAATGCAAAAGATGTCTTATATATCTGCACTGTGGATTCTACTAATTCGTCATTGAAAGGTACAAACTTGGGCTTCCCCTGAGTAGTACCAGAACTGCAAGACCACAGCATTGATCAACTTCCATTGTATAATTCAAAATTTTTAATATCAACAACATAGGAAAAAAGAAACAAAATAGGAAATTACAAAAACCTTAATGAGATGGTTGTTATCGGTTTTCCTGTGAGAATGGAGGAACCATCGCCACCATTAGCAATTCTCTGAATGTAAGGTTCCAAATCCTTGTGAGTAACAAGGGGAACACAAGCCTTGAAACTTTCGGCGTCGGTTCTTCCATTAAGACCCCATTTCTGTAAGTACTCCGTGCCACCATTTTCGTTCAATATTTTCTCAAGGGTCTCTCTCTGAACTCTTTCGGAATCCTTTGTCAGAGCTTCGAATTCTTCTATGATTTCCTCCGGGTCGAACTTATCCATCTTCATCAACATCCTCACACACCTTTAATAGCTGCAAAAAAAACACATTAATTACCTTCAAATTTTTAAACCATATAACATGAGATAAAAAAATAAAAATAAAAAATTCAAACAGACCAATTGTTCAATCTGTGAATGTAATTGAATCTAGTTAAAAACATAATAGTAACAAAATATGAAACTATACATTATAGAAAACACCTGAGAGGGTGAAATATAAATAAAGGGGAAAATGAAGTCAAAGATCCAAATCAATGCAGAAATGAAAAAGCGAAGTTGAAATCAATTCCTATTACAGTACTATAAAAATACACTCAAGATAAGATTCGGAGCAGGACTTCGACGAGTCAACTAAACAAGCAATTAAACATTGTCATTGAAAAAGATTCGCAAAAGTAATCAATAAAGCTAAGACTGAATAAAAAATCAGCTCAGATTCAAGGAATTGTGAATTGAACTGATTCACGAACCTTACAATAGTAACAACTGCAAAATTGAATCCAAAAACAGTACAATTCAAGTACCAACCTTAAAAAAATCAACAACAATTCTTAGTGTAAGACTTAATTCTTTGTATTCGAGCAAAATAAATTTCAAGAAACCAAACCAAAACTTGAATTTTACAGAGATATTGAGAAAGAAATGGATTCAATTGAACAATACAGAAGCCATATCCAAAACAATAGCGAAAAAGAATAATTATATAACTTATACAGATATACATGGAGTGCGTATATATATAATAATATAGATATATAGAGAGAGAGAGAGAGAGAGAGTTTGACTGCACGTTGACTAAAGAAGGTTTGGAGGGTGTCGATCTAGAAGAGAGAGTGAAGAGGAGAGGAGAGAGAGTAACTGAAATTTTCTGACTTTGATTCTCGCACGCCCGCTCACTGAGCCAGAAGTGAAGAATAATAGTTTGTGGTTTCTCTGTATATATACACAAACGATACACAATAGTATTGTAGAGAGAGAGTTTTCGTGTGAGAAACAGAGCCGACGATGATTTGGATAGACCATAAGCGTCATGGAACTCCGTCCACCAAATACGTAACGGGGTACCGAACCTGTCCACTTAGTTTGTCTGAAATTACGAAAAAACCAGCATATGCGCCACTTTGGAGTTTGGGATGTTGATCAACTTTTGATTTCAAACTGGACTTTTCTCAAATGGTCAGTATTTCTTTGCGTTTTAAAAATTAGAAATGGTGTTTAATTTCATGACTCTCTTGCGGAGGAAAAAAAATACGTAAATAAATAAAATTTATAACTAAGTTATGAAAGGACTATAAAGTACTTAAAAATAAAAAATTTTAAAGAATGAGACTGAGGACAACAAAAAATAAGGTGATATTTAAATTGGTACTTTTTAGAGAAGTCGAATTTAATGTTGTAATGATATTGGATAGATAATTTATACAAGTGATACAACTATACAATTTAAGTGATCGTAACATCAAGACTAACCCTTGTGATACTCCCCTTTACATTTATAGAAGCCATGAAGGTGAAAATGCTTCTGATATTGACCTTACATGCTATACCTCTTTCTAGGCCTTAGATTAGTATTTCTCACTGTTGTATTTAAGAAAATGTTTGCAAAAAAAAAAAAATTCAGAAATGTAAATACAACTTACATTTTCTGATATTGATCAACTTTTGATTTCAAACTGGACTATTCTCAAATGGTATTTCTTTGCGTTTAAAAAATGAGAAATGGTGTTTAAATTCAGGACACTCTTGTCAAGGAAAAAAATAAATAAATGAAATTTATAACAAAGTTATGAAAGGACTGTCAAGTACTTATAAACATTTTACAAGAGTGAGTCAAGTACTTATAAAAATTTTACAAGAGTGAGACTTGGTGATAAAGTAAAATATAAAAAAGGTGATATTTAAATTGATACCATTTAGAGAAGTAGAATTTGATGTTGTAACAATATTGATTACTCATACGTGTTATACAATTACACTTTTTAAGTCATATAACTACAAGTGATTCTAATTATTATAGCATCAAGACTCGCCCTTGTGATACTCTCCTTTACATTTACAAAAATTATGAAGGTAAAAAAAACACACACACATGTTTCTGATGCTATACCTCTTTCTAGGCCTTAGATCAGTATTTCTCACTGTTGTATTTCAGAAAATGTGTGCAAAAAAAAAAAAAAAAAAAAAAAATAGTATATACAACATATTCAAATATATATGCATACACCATAAAGGGAAAAAATGGTGACAGTTACCGATACCAATTGTGGAATATACATTGCACGGATTCTGTAAACGAGTTGGGACAAAATTCCAAACATCTCAATTATTGAGAAGAAAAAAAAAAAAAAAATTAAAATTGATATTATTATGAGCTTAGCAAAAGAAGGGAGCTGTCGGTAGTTGATGCCACAAAGCATGTTGCACAAGCCCTTCCACCAGCTCCTCAACATTAGAACTCGGAACTCACGTGTGTTAAGAGTCTTAAGACAGTTCGAAAGCCTTTCCATTAAGTGGTGGTGATGTTACTACTTACTATTTCATCAAACAAATAATACATCGCATAAGAAAAGAATCATTACAACATTGATTTTATTATTATTTTATTTTACGTTTTTACCGTATGAAATGGATCCATGTTAATTTTTATTATAAAGTGATGTCCAATATTAGTATTATGTCTCGATTTCATATGTTTAAACGTTAATATATATATTTTCTTTTCAATAATAGGGATGTCCAGAATTTTTTCAGACTAATTACGGAACTTATGCCAGGCATCTTCACACGAATAGAGTGAAATTTGGACTATATTTATAGACAGGGCTCCATAAGAAATTATTTGCACCTACAAAAAATTTATCATTATCTTGGATATTTCATACGTACTAGTCATTTTCAACTAACAATAGTGAACCACCAATATTTTACTTTGAGTGATGTTACAAATTCAATTAAAAGCTTTGTCATTATTAAAGGAACGGATAACATTCATGTATTTGTCGATAATTCTCACAAAAATTCAATGAACTATGATATTTGATGGACAAACATGTACTACAAATGTATTTCTCAATGATTCTTGCAACAATTCAATGTACTACTGTAAGATTGATTGACATCCTGCGTCCATAAATTGTATTGATAATGACATTTGAGCAACGAGGTAGAAATTGGGGTCCATTGAAACCAAAAACAGAAAAAAAAAACAATGAAAAGGGCTTAAAGTAATAATTCTTCAACGGCTAAATCAAAATTTTGATGCTTAAATGTAAAAAAACATTCACACCATACAAATTTTTGATATGATTCGATGGGTGTAGATTTGCGGTCAATTTGGAAATAATATGGAGCGAAATGAATTTCAGGTGAGAGAAGAAAGTCAAAATCGCAGCTTGTACGGCGTAAATGTTGATAAAATGAAAAATTTCTGTTTAATGAAAGGTATGTTTTTGATACAATGGAAGTGAAATTAATGCCTTCTAAGTCAGCAAAATTTTCGAATTAATTCTTCCTTAATCTGTCATTTCATTCAAATCAACAATTGAGCCGGTTTTACATGTAATGAGGATTTTGACTTGAAAGTTGAAACTATGTATCAAAAGGTTTTACACATTTTTATTCTAAAATGTGACAGCACCACAACTTATATTACATACAATGTTTTTGTATATCCTTTTGATAACGTTAGAAAAAAATATAGTTTAGAGATATTTTTTTTTTTATTTTTATTTTTTAAAAGGGATGACGAAGGAATACGGATCCTTTTCAAGAAAAATTCTCTCCAAATATTTACAGGTATTAATCCTACGACTACTAAGGCGTCACATCAACAACAACTTCTTTGACTCACTGAATGTACTAAGTTACTACACTTTCTTAAAATATCTAACTATGTTAAATTACAAATTTACCCACATTAACAAAAAAAAAAAAAAAAAAAAAAAATCTCTTTCTCTTCTCTTTCTTCTCTCTCCTATATATAACACACACACACCCACATATATATATATATATATAGTCCTAATCTCTTGCTCCTTATGGAGTAAGAAAAATAATCTATACTTTCTATATAGACCGTTAGATTAAATCTAACGGTCATTTTACAAACCCATCTATGACCTTTCCTTTTAACACAAAACCATTCTCACCTTATTTTTAGTTTCTATAATTAATTTTATTATTTCTACCCACCGTAACAATAAAAGGTAATTATCAAAATAAAAATAGAAACCTTTGAAAAAAAAAAATTAATTCCCGTATATTTTACTAATAAATTTGTTTTTATTTACATGTTTCTTCCGTGTATTGCTAAGAGGCTTGATAGTGTCTGGGGTGCCTGGTTTTTCTTCAGTTTTTATTTTAAACCAACTTTGAATGAGAAATCAAAGAGTAAGATCACTTGGGAGAGTAATGGGGTTGGTGGGTATGATAAATTAGACTTGAAGCTTGATGTTTTCATGGTTCAGCATGATATGGAGAAAATGTATATGTGGGTTTTCAAGGAGAGGTCTGAAAATGCATTGGGAAAAATGCAACTGAGATGTTAAGCAGTGTGCACGATTCTGGGATTTAGAGGTGTTTCATGTTGTTTCAGAACCAAAACTCTCATGAAAAGAAGTATTATTGTTATAGTTATTTATGCGTGTATGTGTGAATAACAATATTATATAACTGAATAATGGAATCATATGACATTGACTTTATTCAAAATTGTTAAAGCTTAAACTAAATAAAATGAAAACAAAAAATTTAATCTCTTCGTAAAGGGATGAAACTTAACAAAATTTAAAAACATTTAATCCTCAAAGCCTTAAAGTAAACTCTTCCACGACAAATAAAAGTAAAGCTACGGGAATTAATTTTTTTCAAAGGTTTTTATAATTACCTTTTATTGTTATAGTAGATGGTAATGGTAAAATTAATTAAAGAAACTAAAAATAGGGTGAGAGTGGTTTTGTATTAAAAGAAAAGATCATGGGTGGGTTTGTAAAATGACCGTTAGATTAACGGTCTATATAAAAAGTGTGGATTATTTTTTTTGATCCATGGGCAGCAAGAGATCAGGACTCTCTCTCTCTCTCTCTCTCTATATATATATATATATATATATATATATATATATTTATAGATTATATACGATTCAACTCTCTTCTTTACTGTTGAATCGATTTTTTATTTTTGTCAATTCCAATTAAAATTGATTATGATCCTTCAACTTGTATTTTTATGCGATTTAGAAAATTCAATTATAGTTCTCCAATAATATATATATACACACACACATGGCTAGATATCTACAGATTATACATGATTCAACTCTCGTCTCTCTCGTTCTATGTAGGGTTTTCATTGCCATGGACAAGGATGATACTTTCGCGGTGGGCTCAATCTAGGGTTTCTTCAACCTTGGAAATGGTCCTGTTGTAGACATGGAAGCCTGATCACAAGACCCATGGCCACTTTCTCCGAGCGCATGGACGCCAGAGACACCATCGCCTAGACTCCGATCGTAAATAATCTGTAGATATATATATATATATATATATATCCATGTGTGTGTGTATATATATATATGTGTGTAAAGGAAGAAAGAAGAAAGAGAGAGAGAGAGAGATATATATATATATATATATATATATATATATATATATATATTTTAAGGTGGGTAAACCTATAATTTAACATAGTTAGATATTTTAAAAAAGTGTAGTAACTTTTTGTATATTCGGTGAGTCAAAGAAGTTGTTGGAAGTTGTTGATGTGGCGCCTTAGTGGTAGTAAGATTAATACCTGTAGTTACTTAGAGAGAATTTTCCTTGGAGAGGATCCGTTCTCAAACTAAATAAAGGCATATAAATCATCATGAAGCAAAGCAAGAAAAATAAAGAACAGGCTCTGGATTTGTTGAGAAAGAGCTACCGCTCTAGAACGGAAACCACCAAGGGAGAAGAGCAGCAACTGGAATAACTAAAGGTCAGGCCATCATCAAGGCAATAGCTCCAAAACTGCATCC